ACGTTGTCAGTTTGAATCCAGTAATGAGATTGGTGTTTTTTGTAAACTTACTAATGCATATTGTCTCGTTGGTATCGGTGCTACAGAAAACTTTTACAGGTAACTGTTGAAAATGTATATTTTTATGTATAAAGTTTTTGCTTGAAACAAAAATTGTATAAATAATTCATCAGCTAAGTCCGAGTTTCACTAATGTTTTTAGTTGAAATGTATATTTGATTCTTGATAGTTAAGCTGCAAAACTTGTTTCTAGCATTTTTGAAGCCGAGTTAGCTGATGCAATACCTGTTGTTCATTGTACAATTGCTGGTACACGTATTGTTGGTCGTGTTACAGCTGGAAATCGACATGGACTTTTAGTACCTAATGGAACTACGGATCAAGAGTTGCAACATTTAAGGAACAGGTTTGAAATTATGATATTGCGTAGTTACAGTAGTGTTACTTTTTAGTAGATTTTAGCTGCTGATTTAAGTTTGCGAAACTTATTATTATATAGGCATCGCACTGGAACAGGCATGTTTTTTTCTGTACTAGCTTTTTACTATAATGGTAAAAAACGTTCTGGTGGATTTTTAAGCTATTGTACCAGTTTAGCTTACCTGATGAAGTAAAAATTCGGCGAGTCGATGAAAGGTTATCTGCGTTAGGAAATATTATTGCTTGTAATGATCACGTTGCGATTGTGCATGCAGAACTAAGTCCAGAAACTGAAAAAGTTTGTTCTTTCTGTCACATGTTTATTTTATTTCATTCTGTTCAACACTCCACAGTACTTTTAAATAGCCTGACTGTTTTACGAAGAGGCTTTATTTTGTTAGCATTAGTACCGCATATCTGTCTTTGATTAAATTAGCCAAAGTTTCAGGCTTTAGTGGAGGTTTTGAATGTGGAAGTGTTCAAAATGTCGCTTGCTGATCATGCTTTGGTAATTTTTTGCTTTGATGTTTTTATAGTCTTTTTTCACGGTTAGTCTTTTTCTTTTTTTATAGTCTTTTTTTTATAGTCTTTTTTTTCTTACGGTTTCCTGCCTCCTTTTCATTGTAGGTTGGTTCTTATGCTGCAATCAGTGCTAATGGTGCTTTAGTTGCCGCAAAAACTCCGCCTGATACTCAACGAGAGCTTGCTGCGTTGATTCAAGTTCCAGTTGTTGCAGGGACTGTAAACAGGTGACACATTAATATCTTTTTTGATAAGTACTCTCCTCAATTTCAACTTTGAAAGTTTCACTAGTGTTCATTGACATCAGAGTAGTAGCCTCCTGGACTGGTATATTAAATTTTGTAGATCTATCAAAATGAAGTTTTTGCGGTAGTTAGTCTTTCAAAAGCAATTTTTTTAATATTTTCTACGTGTCTTGTTTGTTTTGCATTTGGCGTAACAACTTCTTTTGAAGCACTTTCTTTACGCTTCATTTTTTGTTTCGTGTCGAGGTGAAAGTGGCTCTTGGAACCCTTTAGGTGTACTCATGATGTTTTTACGGTTCGGGAATAGCAAGTTATGCGGAATTCTACTTCGACAGCTCAGTTTACTTTTTATTTGTCAGTAGACAAAAACTTAGCTTCTTAAATTTGCTAGCACGCCAGTTGTACATACATTTATTTTGGGAGCTGTAAATAAATGCGATTAAAGAACGATTTGGCGTTCCACCTCTTCTGTTTTCATATGAAAGTTAGCAAAGATATTTTGCTTGAATTACTGCGGAAAACAGAATGAATCATCAGATTGGAGGAACAAGCGTAAAGTAGTTAACTGAAGTACAGTTTGGACATTCTGTAAAGGTGTCCAGCCAAGAAGCATTTTAGCAGATTGGTAAGGATCGGCGTCGGTAAATTTAGGTTGATAAAATAATAGTATGAGTTTTTAATAGACATGGCACTACCTGTACTTCTTGATTTTGATTAATTCTTAGTACTTCGTACTATATACTTCATTTCTAGTGTTACCATAAGTTTTTGGTATAAAAAATAGACCGGACAGGTATTTTTTTAGGGGCTCGGAATTGATTGGTGCTGGTATATGTGTAAATGATTGGATTGCTTTTGTGGGCGCTGATACAACGAGTACGGAACTTTCTGTTCTAGAATCAATTTTCAAAATTGGAGATAATGCTCCGTCAGCTATTGGATCTAATTTAAGAGATACATTAGTAGAAAGCTTCCTGTGATCTTTTTTAGTTCCATATGCGAGTATGTCAAGCTCTAAATGTTTTTTTATTGGATTTGGTTGAGCCTTGTTAATTTTTTCGTTTAAAAAGTACAAGGGCAGAACGCTGAAGTGGAATGAATGACGTGATAGTTTTGAATCATATCTTCTTATATCAGCTACTCTTTTTACAAAACCGCTAGGTACTTTTTGTGGTTACTTCTTGAGACACTTCCAGCGTGTACCGCATTGTTCGAAAATTTTTTTTGGATTTTTGAGATTTTGTTGATTGTAAATTAATATTTTTCTTATTCTGTTATGTTGTTTTCACTGTTAAAAAATTGCTGCGTGTAACTTTGATTGTATGTTAAAATAAATGAGATTGAAAAAGGGAATTGTTTTAGGGTTATTGTGGTAATTATGTCAGGTTTATGATCTTTAGTTCGTAAACATTTAGAATTTTAGCCTTCTTGACTTTGAGAGTTTATTTATCATTAAGACAGAACTGTGGTCTACGCAAATTTAGAAGTTGTTTTTTTTTTTTTTTTTTTTTTTTTTTT